GTTTTTTTTTTTCCAAGGGCTTTTGGGTATTTTTCTTTCTATGGATGTATGGGAATGAAAATATGAAAAAGGGAGATTACTTTTGGGTTAAAAAATTTCTCGCTGCTGGGACTTAGTCCTGTTGCTGCATTCTTACACTTCATTTGTTTGACTTGATTGAACTTTGCCTTTGCTGCTGGGACTTGATCCTTTTTCTTCCTTTTTTGGCCTTCATCTCTGTGTGATTGAATTTTGCCACTTCTGGTTGTTTCCTCAGCACTTCACTGCCTCTTTTTTTCACTGGCTGGCACTTAGAAGCACAGAGATGCATTTATCACTTGCGCTTTTCATATAAGGATAGTTACTTGAAACCGCTATTATTTTCTCTATCTCTCTGTTGCTAGCAATAGCGTTGAACCATAAACACCTTGAGATATAAAGGAAAAGAATAGTTTTCTTGATGGTTTTAGAGGCTCAATTTTGTTTGGGCATCATTCCATAGTTCGAAGTACCCAGAAATATATTCTTTTTTACTAAAATCATGACCCTTAAAGAATTGTGGCTTGTTGGTGCTTTCTGACGGCATAATACCTTTTTTTGTTGTTAATTTCTATGCAGAAAAAAGCAGGGATAGCTCATGCTCGTGGTGCTCTTGTGTTGGTGGATAACAGCATCATGTCCCCTGTATTGTCTAAACCATTGGAACTTGGAGCAGGTTTTAAAAACAATTTTTATTTAAGTTTCAGATATAAGAAATGCAGTCTCTCGTTCAAGATTTTATTTGTTGCTTCTGATGGTTCCATTGCTTTTTCCAGACATTGTGATGCATTCAGCTACTAAATTCATAGTTGGACACAGTGATGTAATGGTGGGCGTGCTTGCGGTAAAAGGGGAAAGGAGTACCTTGTGAAAGACTTGTTTCATTTGTTCAATTTAATTCATTGATGCATCATCCGCATTCCTCGCCACACTTCTAATTATGTAGTTCTGTGGTGGGAGTTGTTGTAATCGAGACATTTGCCATCATAATCAATGTTAAGGCATGTTGGTAACTAGAATTGGCACAAATCCATAGGATTGGGCTTGCTTATAGAGAGCAGCCGTCGGATTCTATAGTAAATTTGGACAAAATACAATTCTAAGGATCCTGCAAATACAAAACCCTACTATTAACTGTATTTTTAACTGGCCTATTATTAATTATTGAGTTCCTAGAAGTAGTGGAGCTGTGCCACTGGTTACTCTAAAGCAGTCAGCATCCTGCAATTTTTTCACCCCTTTAATTTATTTTGTTTCATTTTGTTTTCTTTGTTTGTATTCGATCCTTTCAAGTTCTTGTGTTATTTTTGTAACAGGCAACAGTGAGACCTAAATGTCTCACTGTTGGGTGAAGACAATGGCTAATGTTGCTGCCTTCTTGCAAACTGTCATCGCTTTGCATGTGACAATCACCCCCCCTTACTCTGCTTTTTCTATCTTCTTGGAGACCTAAATGTCCAACCATGCTCCTTTTTCATGTTCCCCTTTTTCAGTTCCTTTGGATTTATTGCTGCACTAAATTTTGAGCTCCATCTTGTATTTGTAGATATTTGCGAGTCCAATGTACGAATTTATGGACACAACTTATGGAATCAAAGGAAGTGCATTGGCTTTTCGCAACTATATTGAATTCCAATCTATATTCACTTAGCAATATTGCAATGACATTAATTTTATCCATTCTTCCTCTTACTTTTTACACAACTAGTAATTCTTTCAAAGCTAATGTGCTATCTAATTATCCCGAAAGGTAATGTCAGCCACTAATTATATTGTCAATAATTTTCTCTTGATTCTTGGCAGATGGGCTTCCAATTTGCGGGCAAAGCAGTGTATACTGCTGTATGGGTTGCTGCCCTGTCATTGTTTATGGAGTTGCTAGGTTTCTCCACACAGAAATGGCTCACTGCAGGTGAGTCTTGGAACAGTCTTGTTGACACTGGCTGGTCGTGAGGTGTGATTTATATTTCTACTGTGTAAAATAGTTCATCCCTGCTATTCCTTCACCAACATGAGTATTACTTCTAAGATATATATGTTCTCTATAGTTTCGTCGATTATATATTTTGATCCATGACAACTGTTTTTGCCATTTGCAAATATTCACAAATTTTCTTTCAAGTGCAATGATTCATGCAACCCGTCCATTTGTCGTGAATGAGTGGATTCAGACAAAGATTGAAGGCTATGAAGTTTCTGGTACTGTTAAGGTCCGTATATGAATTTTGCAGCCATGTTCATAAGTAGGTCCATATGAAGAGGACAAAGAGAAAGATAATATGGAGGTGGAATGCACTTTATTTCATCTTATTTTAGTGATTACAATTTGTACCTGCTTTATGATGAATGATGTAAACAGACCCTTGCGTCTTTGTTCTTATGAAGCAATTTCTCCCTATTGATCCCTCTGGAAGTTTACTGCTTATTACATTACTCTTCCCGAAAACTTGCTTACGCGGGTCCTTATAAGCTTTCACCTTTTTGCTTTAGCAGCATGTGGGGTGGTGGTCACCAACAATTGTAAGGGGTGAAGATTGCCAAGCTGTTCACATTCCAAACCATAAGTTCACAGTGAATGTAGTGAGAAATCTCAGCCAAAAAATTCATTGGCATATTAAAAACGTCATTTAAAGTGACGTTTTATAAAAAAAAAAAAAGAGACTATGTTTATGAAATAAAGTTTTAGAGCTGACTGGGTTTAAAAAAAAGCTCCCCCAGATTGAGATATTTTTATGAAATGGGAAGTGAAATTATAATATTGAGATTTTTTTTTAATCAATTTATGCGCATATCAAGTAAAATGGACGATGACTAAAATATAATTTTTTATTTACATTTTCTCTTTTTCAGATACAATGTATAATGCGATTGAACTTTAAGCAATGGTAATATATTCTTATTAAAATGGAGAAACGATATGGTACCATCAGTGGTATCGTATCCAAAATTAAAACTTTTTAAGGCAAAGTTGTAATTTTTTCAAGGTGTAAATTACAATTTTAAATTACATGATCAATCATAAAATATTGAAATTCATACTGAGATTTCATAATTAGGAGTATCTGCAACTTAGTAAAGCATGGATTAAAAAATGGATTAAATACATATTTTTTGATATAGAAGTGTCATTTCAAACCACGCTTTTAAGTTTTTTTTATTAAATATATGTTTTACTAATATATTTTTATATTGAAAAATATGAAATTAAATTATGCTTTTGTGAATTTTATTTTCGATTATAAAATAAGTTTAAAATTAATATGAAAAGGGAATTATATTTATTTAATTTTTTTTTTATCTGCTGAGTTATTATGTGAGACATAAAGTGAAATTATTAACTTTTATGAAATTTTATTACAAGTTGGGTTGGAAGAAAACGTCATTATAAAAAAGTTACACGGTAAAAAATATCATTTAAACAAAGGGATGAAAACGTTATTTCAAATGACGTTTCATCCCTTTGTAATTCTTAATGTCCATTACTACTATTTAAAAACGTCATTTTGAATGACGATTTTAAAAACGTCAGGAAAAAAAATTAAAACTTCAAATCGTTATTCCAAATGACGTTTTTAGGTAAGAAGACGTCATTTCAAATTTCGTTTTTAAAAAAATGCTGGATTTAGAAATTAAGTTTAAAAATGGCTGGATTTGAGAATTATATTGAGGGGGAATGAGTTTGGAGAAAACCTCATTGTCACAATTTACGTTTGTTCCAAGTTCACCTCTCTCACAAACGTCAATTAACGGTGATCAAACTGGACATTGATTTTTATGACTTGAAAAAGCAAAACCTGAAAGATATGTAACAATTAAATAAACAATACCAATATGATTACAGTGTATTGTTTATTTAATATATGAACAGATTAGAAGGAGAAAGTACCTCGACTGCTACAGAAACAAAGAAGAAGCACCCGTAGCCAAAACTCCGTGTGTGAATGAGGGAGATTGAGAAGCGGAATGTTTAAGAGAGGCATAGTTNCAAAGAAGAAGCACCCGTAGCCAAAACTCCGTGTGTGAATGAGGGAGATTGAGAAGCGGAATGTTTAAGAGAGGCATAGTTAGAGATCGAATGTCCACGATTGAGAGAGATCGGAACAAAAGAAGGAAATTATCATGTCCCTGATCCCGGTAGGAAGTCGCCGGAGTGGAGCACCACCGAATTGGTGGACGGAGGAGCTATCAATCTTAGACATAACCTTTTTTCGAGTAAATCATAGCGAGAATGAAGTCACGAGGAGCGAAAGCTATTACCATAGCCAACATTATTATCACATACGCGGAGAGATCACTGTGCGATCTTGTTCGATATTACTCCGGTATTGGCATCAAATCACTCGTTCTCGACGAGTCTGAAGTCAAAATCCGGCAAAGAGAGCTTCTTCGCTCTCTTACCCTCCGAAAAAAGCCGTTTTTTCGATCAATTTCCTCTGCTGCTGCCCACTCCGAAATACGATTTTCCTGAGAGCAACCAATAGTAACAAGAACGAGCTCGAAAAGAGAATGTAGGTGATTTACGAAATTCGAAGCTCATAGTTTTGTCTCTCTGTCTCTACACATACATTTGTAACCTATCTCTCTCTCTCTCTCTCTAGCATCGAAGTTCAGTCATCCATTCGTAACTAGTGTGTGTGCGAGCCTGGAACAAGTAGAGAGAGGCGATGGAGAGGTTTGACGGATTGGGAGAGACATTGGAAATATAGGTTAAAAAATTTGGGATTCCCTCTTTCCGGACTAGGGCTGTTAGTCAACAGTCTAACGAGTCCAAGTCGAATTTAAAAAAATTGTTTTTTTATTGATCTTAAAAAATTGTTTTAAGTTTGGTTTATTTAAAAAATAAGATACAGTTGAAGGAGTCAAAAATAAGTCGAGTCCGAGCCGAGCTTGAGTATTTACACATAAATGAGTCAAGTTTGAGCCGAGTTTGTAGGGCTTGTATTCTAAACAAGCCGAACTCAAACCAAGTTCAAATAGTTCAGTTTGATTAATAACTCTATTCCAAACACTATGAAAAAAAAATTATTTTATTAATTGCGATATTTTTGTAAGTAAAGGTCTTTAAAGTTTGTACTTTGTTTCATTTTAGTTCTCAATGTTACAGTTGTATCATATTAGTTCCTCATGTATTAAACTTATTTTTAAGTGATCTCTACATATAACCTTGCCCAAAATTTTATGAAGGGTATTTTAGATAAATTGTGGTCCACTTGACCCGAAAATTACAGTAGTATTCTACAAAGTATATTCTTAGTCTCATTTTGGTTCTCCAACATTATAATACGTTAAGGATTAATGTGATACTATTGTAATGTTGAGGGACCAAAATGAGATAGGGAGTATACTTTGGAGACTCTTGCTGCAATTTTTAGGTCAAGTAGACATTGATTTGTCTAAAATACCATTCATCGGGGAGCATGTCTAAAGCACCTGAGCAAAAATCTTTAAAAATTTACACGGCGTTATACATTGAGACCACTTAAAAATAAATTTAATACATCATAGATCAATGTGATATAATTATAATATTAAGAATCAAAATAAAAAGAAGTGCAAACTTTGGGGACCGTCGCTGCAATTAATCCTAAAACTAAATATGGGGACAAAGTAATTTTGCTTTGGCAGCAAGGTCTTGCCACAATAAACTGCGCAAGTATTTGCCAACATAAAATTTGTTTTCTCGATAAAAGTTTCTTTTACCTACAAAATACATTACTTTAGTAAAAAAAATTTCGATAAAATTTATTTTTCTCGTAGTGTCCGATCCAAATTATGGTTGGATATCCCAAATATGGGAATATAATATGTTAGGGGAGATAATGTTTCAATGAGTTTTGTATGATATTTTAATGTCCATTTGGTTACTGGTGGTTGTAGTGGTTTTGCGCTGTCCCTTCTGTGGTTTGTTAATTAGAGAAGATGCGATATCAATGCATAAACAAAACACCTTGTCAGCTTTTGATCAGCATCAACATGATTAGAAGCCTCAGGATCTGGACATGGTTATAAATATTCTCCCTTCAACCACCCTCATTGAGAGCCCATATTAGTTGGGAATGGAGATAATACACAAATCGATTGCAGTTTGTTCTGTTATTGCTCTTCTTGCTTGGTCATGGAGAGTCTTGAATTGGCTGTGGTTGAGGCCAAAGAAGCTGAAGGAATGCCAGAAAACAAGGCTTCGCCGGAAACTCCAACAGGTTATTGTTCGGCGATCTGAAAGAGATGTCTACGATGCTCAGAAAAGCCAAGTCAAAGCCCATCAACCTCTCTGATGATATCGTGTCACGTATCATTCCATTTGTACACAAGTCCATGACAAAATATGGTATGTTTCTGCACAGTGGCTTGTATTTCTGTAGATAACCAGGAGTGAAACCCAGTCTTGGAAGCAACTAGAGGTGTCCATGAGCCGGGTTATCTATGGGTTTTGTTATCCGGCCCGAAAAAATATAATCAAAACCTGATACTTGTTCTGTCCGAGCTCGAGCCCGAGCCCAATATCCTTAAAAAGAGGACTTGGGTTTGCCCCCAACCCATTACTCGGCCCAAAGCCCGGCTCAATAGCCCGCCCAAAAAAGCCTGGCCAAAGAGCTCGCCCACTATTCATTTGAAAAAAAGTTATATTTTTAGATTATTAAATTTATAATTTTAAAATAAGTCTCCTAATATCAAAATTTGAAGTTTTAAAAATTTAGATACTATAAATAATGTATTATTTTCTTTTCTATTTATTAAGCATACAAGTTTTAAAGGTTAGAGTAATACAAATGATAGATAAATGAGTATATGTCAACCTAATCGGGATGTATTCATTCTATTGGATGTAGTTCATTCCCTAATCAAAACTAAAATTATTCATTATTTTATTTTTATCCATTTTGACTCTACTTTTGATTCAAAAATATAATTTACATAAATATTAAGTTACAAAAATATTTATTATTTTTAAATGAAAGTTGTATAAAAAAAGGCATGTGAATAGGCCCGCCTAACAAGCCCGTTCAGAAGGCCCGTCCAATAGTCTCTCGAGTTGGGCTACGAGTAGCTTACTCATACTCAAAGTCCGGCCGATAACTCATTTGGATAAGGATGTGGGTCTATACCACTACCTAGACCTAGCCCGAAAAAAATTTTGTGGGCCTAGCTCGACCCCACTCATGAACACCCTTAGAAAGCGGTTATCAGGCAAGACAGGATTCAGGTAGAGATAGGCTACTTGCAGCATAACCCACAAGCTTATTAGACGAGCTTGTTTGGCGGCCCTACTTGTAGACTTTTTTATATACATCTTCATTTAAAAACAATGAATATTTTTATTATTTAATATTTATGTAAATTTTATTTTTGATTAGGGGATGAATTACATCTAATAGAATGAATACATCTCAACTAAATTGACACCTACTCACTTATCTATCATTTGCATTATTCTAGCCTTTAAAATTTGTATACTTAATACATGGAAAAGAAAATAATATATTATTTATAGTATCTAAATTTTTAAAATTTCAAATTCCTACATTAGGAGACTGATTTCAAAATTTTAAATTTAATGGTTTAAAAATACAATTTTTTTTTCAAATAAAGGGTGGGCGGGCTAGGTTCTTTGGCCGGGTTTTAACATGGTTTTTTGGTCGGGTTATTGGGCCGAGTAATGGGTTTGGGAACAAACTCAAACCCTATTTGGGTCGAATAACATGACCCATGGTTTACCCGGCTCATAGACACCCCTCAAAGCAACGCTATAAAACCTTTCTATTTCTACTCATATGTGAACTTTATTTTTTTTGTTTTTTCAATGGTCGAAGGTGCGCAGATCAGTTTACACGTACTTCGATTAATTTCATTTGTAGTCCGATCAAAGGCAAACAAACCATTTACGTTGAGATTAGACAATTTATTAGAAATAAATCTCTCATGATCTGACCTCAAAGGATTGCCAAGTCACACATAATAATAGCCCAAATCATAGATCAATTTCCATAAAATTGAGCTGATCAACCAAAAAATTCAAAATTTCATAGCGAAAGTTTGGGACTAGATTGAAGTGGCTTTTTGAGGTCAAAAGTTGTGATTTGAAAATTATTACAAAAAATTTAGTGTTAAAAAAATCTCCAAAACTGGTTGTTGTATTCTTTAAAAGCTAAAAACGTTACAAAAATCCGTTTGTATTGACTTTTTATCATTTTTGATTTTTTGTGTCAAAATAAAAAATTATTACTTGTAAGTATAGATTATACATAATAATTTCCAAATTATGAATTTTAATTTTTTTTATGTTACTAATAATATTATATGAATATAATAAGAATAATTTTATGTGCTCTAAATTTGTGAATCAAAACTTACATCAAATTAACTACAGTCGTTAGATCTCTGATGAGACCCACTAAACCAAAGACTGCAAGTGATTTGGTGTAAGTTTTAGTACACATAGTATCAATTATATAATAAATTAAAAAATTAATTGAGACTACCTCAAAACTTCAAAAAGTCAAAAAAAAAAATCATAAAAACACTTTTTTGAATTAATATAAATAAGCCTTTTTGGGTCGACTGCAGTATAAGTTGGTAAAAAATCCAAGTTACAATCGGACTTGGATTAATTTAGTCCAAAATTCTTAAAAACACTCTATTTAAGTTCATTCCAAATATGTTAACGGATACAGACCAAGTTTAAAAGCTACAAGTTGTTTTGTAGTCTGTTCTTTACATTTTCAGTTGTCATATTGTATTTGTTATTCTTTCATTCATTGCACATGTCTATTAGCTGGCACAATATGATAGGTTGGGTTTGTTAGTTGGTTACAGATTTTTTGTATATATGCTCGACATTCCTTCCATGTACGTAAGCAATTTTACAAAATGAAATATTAAGATTTCCTCCATTGATACACTCTCTAGTTCTTTTGCCCCATTGTTGTTTTCCTTTTCCATACATGGTATCAGAGC